TCTCAGATTGTATACATAAAAATGGACATTTCTCAAAATTCCAAAAATATCCTAATCACAAATAGGTAATATTCTGTTTCAACTTGATGCTGCTTAATAAACCTAACCTAACCTAAGAGATTCTTGTCAAAATCTCGACCAACAAATGAAACCAACAATAATTTCCAAATTTCCAAAAATATATCTCAGAATATATACATAAAAATGGACGTCTTTCAAAATCCCAAAAACATCCTAATCACAAATAGATAATATTCTGTTTCAACTTAATATTTCTTAATAAACCTAACCTAAGAGACTCTTGTCAAAATCTCGACCAACAATAATTTCCAAATTTTCAAAAACATAATTCAGAATGCATGTATAAAAATGGACGTTTCTCAAAATTCCAAAAATATCCTAATCACAAATAGATAATATTCTGTTTCAACTTGATGCTGCTTAATAAACCTAACCTAATTCAAGAAACTCTTGTCAAAATCTCGACCAACAAATGAAACCAACAATAATTTCCAAATTTCCAAAAATATATCTCAGAATATATACATAAAAATGGACGTCTTTCAAAATCCCAAAAACATCCTAATCACAAATAGATAATATTCTGTTTCAACTTAATATTTCTTAATAAACCTAACCTAAGAGACTCTTGTTAAAATCTCGACCAACAATAATTTCCAAATTTTCAAAAGCATAATTCAGAATGCATGTATAAAAATGAACGTTTCTCAAAATTCCAAAGACATCCTAATCACAAATAGATAATATTCTGTTTCAACTTGATATCTCTTAATAAACCTAACCTAACCCAAGAAACTCTTGTCAAAATCTCGATCAACAATAATTTCCAAATTTTCAAAAGCATAATTCAGAATGCATGTATAAAAATGGACGTTTCTCGAAATCCCAAAGACATTCTAATCACAAATAGATAATATTCTGTTTCAACTTGATATCTCTTAATAAACCTAACCTAACCCAAGAAACTCTTGTCAAAATCTCGATCAACAATAATTTCCAAATTTTCAAAAGCATAATTCAGAATGCATATATAAAAACGAACGTTTCTCGAAATCCCAAAGATATCGCAAGCCAATAACAAATAACATTCCCTCGATGATCCGCCGATTAATTGAGACCTAACCGTTCGTCGTTCCCCGATCACACGCGTGCCCCGCGCACGGTTTTACCAGATCGAGATCGAGGGCCGCCTCTCGCGGATCCCTTTCACGAAAAAAGGAGCCCCGCTCGATTTATCGTGACGCATCGGGACGCTGACAAGAACAGCTGTGCACGGGCCTCGCAGCGGGAAACAAACGCACGATAACGATCCAACGTGTTTTGCGCCGCGTATGATGTTATTGTCGCGATTGATCGCGATCTTGGGATGAAATCAGAGCCGTTGATTTATCGAGGCACGGGATAGGGTCAGGGTGAGATGGATGGCGAGGAGGAAAATGGTTCCATTTCAAAATTTGGATTGGATTTTCGTGAGAAATTTAATTAATTTGATGAAGTTGAGTTGTCACGATAATTTATTACGTTCGAAACGTAATAATTGTAATGCTTGAGATTATAATATATATATATATATATAAGATTATATATATATAATAATAAAATATTAATAATAAATATATAATATATATATAAGATTATAATATGTATATAAGATATAGACTATTCGAGAATTTTATAATAAGTAATTGCTTGAGGCAATTCTATTCGAAATTTTCACTTTTTCAAGTGGGTTAATAGCCAACTCTGATTGTTGTTATTATTATTGTATCTTGTGCGTTATGGTTTTTTGAAAATTTCAATTATTTCGTTAATATTGTGAAAATTGTGATTTTCATTTGATCGTTAAAAAATTCTCGCAGGGGGGACCGACAGGTTCTGGGAGCTGGCGTCGGATTAGTGCCGCTCTCAGACTTGCTTTCGCGAGTCCTTTGGGTGGTAGCGTATCCACGAATCGAGCTACTATTGACAGAGTATAGTAACATCTAGTGAATACAGAAAATGGAGTGTTACTCACGTTTCTATTTTATCTAACAAACTTATTAAAAATTTAGATTATTAGAAGTACTTTTAAAATAGAGTGTTCACATTTTCATTTTATCTACAGACTTGTTAGATTAAAAATTTATGTTATTAGAACCATTCTTAAAAAACATTTGATTGTAGAAGATAGAGTGTTATGCACTTTCAATTTTATCTAACAGACTTGTTAGATTAAAAATTTATGTTATTAGAACTAATCTTAAAGTAAACATTTAGTGAACTTGAATTTTTAATCTAACAACATTTTTTATATTTACTAGATTACTATTTTAAGAATGGTTTTAATAATCTAAATTTTTAATCTAACAAGTCTGTTAGATAAAATTGAAAGTAACTCTATTTTTTACATTCACTAGATGTTACTATTTTAAAAGTGGTTCTAATAACATAAATTTTTAATCTAGTAATTTAGATAAAATGAAAATGAACACTCTACTTTAAGAATAGTTTTAATAATCTAAATTTTTAATCTAACAAATCTGTTAGATAAAATGAAAATGTAAACACTCTATTTTCTACATTCACTAGATGTTACTACTTTAATAGTTCTAATAATTTAAATTTTTAATCTAACAAGTCTGTTAGATAAAATTGAAAGTAACTCTATTTTTTACATTCACTAGATGTTACTATTTTAAAAGTGGTTCTAATAACATAAATTTTTAATCTAGTAATTTAGATAAAATGAAAATAAAAACACTCTATTAAGAGTAATTCTAATAATCTAAATTTTAATCTAACAAGTCTGTTAGATAAAATTGAAAGTGAGTAACACAATAGGACCACTCTTAAAATTTTGAAATATTTTTTAGCTTTATTATTTATCATGAGCCAAGAGATTGGAAGATTTTATTCTGAGAGTAAAATTTTGAAATATTTTTTAAGCTTCATTATTTATTATGAGCCAAGATATTGAAAGATTGCTTTTATCCTGAGAGTATGGCCAAAGGACGTTGAACGAATGGAATATCTTTGGAATAAAGATGGCTACACAGAAATCTAGCCAGCTCGTTACGTAGAATTCAATAACTGTTTGTGTTCACGCGATCGTAACCGCGGGCATATTTGACTGTTTCCCAACGAAAATCATCGATTCGTGCTGGTAAATGCTCTTTTTTTTTCGCCGAGATTTTATTTGCTCGTACGGTGTTCTCCCGCTCGATAGGCAGTGAATACAGGGTGGAGCACGCAATCACTCGCGATTAGTAGTATTAATCTGTCCGTATAAGGCGAGTCTTCTTCACACAGCTAATACTTTCATAGAAATTGCATCGCTAATTTTCTCATTTCCTTTCCAATTATTCTATTCTTTTTTTTTTTTTTTTCTTTTTTTGTTATACTTATCCGCCCATACAAGGAAGAGGATAAATTCTTTTTCTCAATAATTGGAAGACCAATTTTCTCGTCTCTTTTCATATCGTTTCGATCAAGGAAATATCAATTTCGAGCAGATCGATCGTAGGAATTAAATCATAATTTGCACGAAAGTCGAATAAAGTTCCTAAAAAGAGAGATTTCTTCGTTAAAAAATTATTGTTCAGATATCTAAATAGTTTCTCCACCCTGTATATTCGCATGATCGAGGATATAATTTCGAATATAGAAAATTTGAATGCTACTTACACCCTGTATTTCGATTTCCGGGCCCCAGATGGCAGTTGATGGCGTCATCAAAATGGCGTCGAGAAGATGACGATGAATATGGAACACAAAATATACATTAAAAATGCTCCAATTACAGATGGAAGCTTCCTAGCGCTTCGACTTATTATTACCGATTTTTATTCGGTTACAAACAGAATTTAGAAACATTTTATTTTTCTTTTTCTCACAAAGATGTCCTCGAAATTACGCGAGATCACGTGCTGCCCTCTCTCAGATCACATCAACCGACAACCGTAACAGCGAATCGAGGAGTTAAAAATTATCAAGTCACACAGTTAAGATGATTTTCAAGATTTTCATTATTACTCGTAAAAAAATTTAAAAAACCGAAATGGCGAAATTGGGATCGAAACGACAAGACACCTTTGCGAAAAAAAGAAAAAAAAATTCATCGATAAAAAGCGAGCTCTCGACATCTCGATTACGATTTCTCTCTCTCTCTCTCTCTCTCCCGCCGCATAAGAAACCGCCAACGTTTCCGACCGGGGCCGATATCCCCCAAAGGAGAGAGAGAGAGAGAGACAGAGACAGAGAGAACTCAATCAACCGTCTCTCCCAGGACGAGAGAGAGGAAAAAAGGAGAGGGAATACCGCATAAGAAGCGAAGGAAACGCCGCGTCACAGGCGAGAGCTGGCCATCTTACGACAAACGTGTTAATTAGAAATTCATCGTTCGCCTTCGGATTCGAGTTCGCCGGGAAGAAGAAGAGGGCAAGAAGCGGGCGTTGCGTTCAACCGCCGTGAAACTCGGCGATTTTTCGTAGCCGAGCCGTTTCGGGGCGGGAGCAACTTTTTGCTGCCGCACAACACCCACCCAGACCGATCGAAGCGAGGTGGCGTTGTTGTTCGCGGCTCGGGCGCAACGAGCGAAACGCGATACGCGCGAGACCTTTTTTTCGGGCCTGCGCGAATCGATCACGGAAAGAAACCCGTCCGCTCGCGCCAACGGCTTCGTTCACTTTTCCTTATTCCGTTACCTTTTATCTTATTGCGTGAGGGGGGGATAGTGCGTGTGCTTTTCCCCTCCCCCTCGTTGGATTCGAAATTTTCGATCGAGGTTGGCGATGAATTGAATAGAAAAGGATAAGAGATAATAGAACGGTAGCCGGTTACCGATCTTCTTTACCGATCGAGCGAATAGAAAAATTTTTCGCATTTAATCAATAAGAGCGTGCGATCGCACGTTACGAGAGTTTGCCCGAAATATTTCATTACTGTTAACCGTGTGATAAATTTTCACGAGTAATTGGATTAATAAGAGAGTCCAGTACTCACGGATGTCGGATCCTGGATGATGGTGGAGGACGTGGTCCATGATCGCAGCACATGAAAAAAAAGGATAATAAAATAAGGATAAGAAAAACACGACGTGGGTCGATGGTGGTCGAGAAATTCGGAAATCGATTTAATTTTCAATTTCTGGTCGACCCTCTCCGTCCTTCCTCTTTTTATTATCTTTGGTCGAAACGCGACGATCGATCAGGCGGATCGAGCGAGTACAAACGATCGAAACGATCGAAACTACGACGACGACGAGGACGACGTTGGCCAAGTCGTTTCGAGACGAGCTGCAGTTTATGCAGGAATAATAATTGGATTGTAATCGTCGTGGGGGACGGAAGCGCGCACTTTTATGCCCCCGTGCTACTATCAGATCGCGTCAGCAGCTCTCAACTTTGCCAACTTTCACCAATTTTTTTTCGATTTTGCGATCGAGGTTTCGAGAATTTTTGATTTCCAAACTCGAGATTGTCTTAAATTCGTTTTTTAAAAACAAAAATGGGGCAACAATAGCGATCCTTGTTGAATAAGATCTTCTGAAAGTGAAACGTCATTCCACAACGTAAATTGTGGAATTTTGTATTTATAATTTAATTATTGGAGAGATACAAGATTTGCTTGGAAACGCGCACGAGAAAAATTGATATTTGTATATTTGAATTGCAATCCTTGTTAAATAAGATCTTCTGAAGGAAAATAAGTGTAAAAGTATCGAGTTCCATTATATTTTTTTTTATTTTACAATTTCTAAAATTACGATAGCCGTGTCAGCTAGATGGCGTTCGAAAATGACGCGAAGAAAAAGATCGAGAAATCCATAATTCGACGACTATAATTGTTATTAAATAAGATTGCAAATTATAGAGAAAGGAGGATAAAATTTAAAAATTTTGTTACGAGATCTTCTAAAAAGCTATATCCATTCGAAAACGAAAAAAGGATTTTTAAAAAGAAATTACATGCTGTGAGATAAAATTTAAAAGAGCTACGTCGCAGATGACATCTATTCGAAAGCGACACGAAAAAAGTATTTATTCTTTTATTAAATAAGACTGCAGATTATGCAAGGATAAAATTTAAAAACTTTGTCAAACAAATCGTCTAAAAACCTACGTAGAGATCGATCGAGAAACCCAATCCACGATTCTACAACTATAATTAATCACTCTTACATAAATAATCTTGCGAATTACTCAAAAAAGGGGGGGGGAAAGGGGGATATATAAAATTTAAAAACTTCCCCCAAAAAAAAAAAAAAAAAAAAAACACTATTACCAGTGTCATATCAAACGTCCCACGCGGGGGAAAGAAAATCGATTGAGAAACTCTGCTCTCCAATAATCGCGCCAGTTTCAAAGTATAAAGACGTTCAAACCTCCCTCCTTCCCTCCCCCCTCTCCCTGACAATTTGTTATGCATACCTCGCACGCGGACGAAAATTGCGTTTAATTCGCCTGGCTGCTTACGCTGCTTACTCCTCTCCCCCTTTGCCATTCGAAAATCACGCTCCCCCTCCCCTCCCCCTCCCCCTCCTCCTCCTCCTCACGGGAGGGGAAGGAGTAAAGGGCGGGGTCCTCTTATAAAACGTAGAGAGATGTCCCATTTAAAAAGCCATTCTCGCGTGTTTAGCATAATGCGTAATCGCGCGAATCGCCCCCCCCCCCCTCTCCCCCCCTCTCCTCCCGAATCATTATCTCGCGTGGAAGATATTTTTTTTTCCTCCCCTCTCTCTCTCTCTCTCCCATTTCGATCGTCTGCTCTACGAAAGAGGCGAGGAAGAGGAGAAGAAGGGGGAGGGGGGAGGGGGATGATCGCGATTCCCAGAACAGATTTTTATATATATATATATATGTATATACACCAAGCTCGCGCCAAGGATACTCGATCGAGTCTCGAGTCGAGGCGGGCACGAAAGAAAGTGGTGCTTGTGCCTCTTCCCCCTCCCCCACCGGGTAGGTAGGGCCCCTTGATAAATTATTAAGAGGAGATAAAGGGGAGGGGGGGAGAAGGAACACGGAGGATTTTATTATGGGGACACTGGGTATTTGGGAAATAATTACGGGGAAATTTGTTGTAAACCGTTCTGGTAATTGATGGTGTAAAGGGGGAGGAGGGGGAGAGGAAGGGGTTGGGAAGGTCGATGGACCATGGATACGCGTTACGTTTGGCTCGTGTTTGGTTGGTGGAGAGAGTTTTGAGAGGTGGTTTTTTTTTTTTTTTTCGAAGAATTTTAGAACACAGTGGAATGATTGTGCGCCATCAATGTATTTTACATTGCGATTGTACATTTTTCCACGAAACAAATTCGTGAAATGGAAAACAGAGGAGCAATTGTGACATAAAACTAACGTTGTTAGTTGGAATAATACGATCAAGTAACAGTTTTCGTGCATGCTCGAGAAAATTTAATAATTGAAATAATTGTAATAGTAATAATAATAATAATTGCGAATAATTGCGAATTGGTGAGATTATGCGAGAAGCGGATCGATTCTGATGCTCGAACATTTCATTATTCATTTTTTAAAAGAATGATGAAATTTCTTTGGAATAATCGCTTCGACGAAAAAATAATTCCTCTTTGCGCAAAGAATATTTACTCAATAATTAAAAATATAAAAGTTTTAAAATTTTTTAAAATTCGCCGAGAAAGAGTCATCCAAAATAATTAAGCAATCAATTCCAATCGTTGTTCCAATTTGTATCCAATCGTTCTCCAAACAAACCAACCAAAGAAATCATACCCCCGTCCAAGATTCGATTAATCGACCTCTTATATGGAATAGAATCGGGACAAATCTTTTCCCCGCCTCCGAAATTATTTCCAAGCCAACGTTCCCGTTTCAACCAAGTTTCCATCGTTGAAATAAAGTGGGCCAGAACACACGAGGCAATTAATTACCACTGATCTGATTGCGCGCAATTAATCCTGCCGTCTTTCTATCCTCTCTTCCTTCTCCCTTCCCCCTCCCCCCTCCCCCCTCCCCCTTCTGGCATCGTTAATTAAGAGTAAACGAATGTCTCCACGGATGTAGATATTCGCCAGAGAGAGAGAGAGAGAGAGAGAGAGAGAGAGAGAGAGAGAGAGAGAGAGAGAGAAAGAGAGAGGCACGCTCTTTATTTGGAATAATTTAACTTTGAACGAGGTGGATAGATCCACCCTTATATCTGCAACTTGTTACATAACTCATTCGTGGATCCTTGCTATATTCTTTCTCGTTACGTTGTCAACGAATTTTTTCTGATTCGATGGATTTGGAGAAAAATAAAAAATTTCTAATAAAATTGAGAAAAGAATTTGAAAGTTAAGAATGTTTTATTATTATTATTATTGTTATTAAATTGAGACTAATTTAAGTTTCTCAAGGATCAGAAAGATTCGAAGAAATTGCAATGACTTTAAATTCGCAATTGCCAATCCTTTGGGCGAACCAAAGTCCCTAGACGAAAAGAGAAAAGAATTTGAAAGTTAAGAATGTTTTATTATTATTATTATTGTTATTAAATTGAGACTAATTTAAGTTTCTCAAGGATCTGAAAGATTCGAAGAAATTGACTTCTTTGGGTGAACCAAAGTCCCTAGATGAAAAGAGAAAAGAATTTGAAAGTTAAGAATGTTTTATTATTATTATTATTGTTATTAAATTGAGAGTAGTTTAAATTTCTCAAGGATCAGAAAGATTCGAAGAAATTGCAATGACTTTAAATTCGCAATTGCCAACCCTTTGGGCGAACCAAAGTCCCTAGAACGCGTGTATTGCAATTCCTTCGCAAGGAAGTTAGCCATGTTGAAATTATCATTCGAATTATTCTTCCGCGCCTCGTTTCGAGGATTAACTAGACACAAATAACTAATAGCCATATTTGAACAAAGACTTTATTTAACTGAGTTAGTTAAACAACTCGATTATGTAAATTGTATAAATTCGATTATTTACCTTTTAATTTAATCTTGTGACGATTAATCAATCCTGTTCCAGAATAGAACGTTGTTAGAATTGGTTTCTAAGAAAAGAATCAAAGTGGAAATTATTGTGGTTGTATTTGATTTTAACTGCAATTTAATGTTGTTGATTGACGGTTTCAATCGAGATATCGCAAAGTGTCGGGGAAAAGCAAGGTTCGCGCCAAATTTCTCCATTATCCTTTGTCCATGGGATCGAGCAATTTATAATAACACGATCCAAGAAGCGGGAGCGATCGGTGCATTCGAGGTCAGGATAGGTCGAGCTATATAAAGATAATAGGCAGCCACCGGCCGGTCGGCGAGTAAGTTTTCTTTTCAACGTCCAAGTACGTTGACGCGCGTGAGAGAAAGGTTTCTCCCGAAAGTGTAAGCCGCTCCAACTTTGGGAAATGTTCGAAATAGAGGAAACAATAATTTACAATAATTTTCGCAAACGATCCATATCGATTCGTGGAAAATGAATATGAACAATTTTCGATAGTCTTTTAGGAAAAGATTATTAAACGATTCTTTTTCTATATCTTCATCTCAAAAATGTTAATCCTCGTTCTGCAAAAGTCTACCATTTTGTTTCAGATATAAGCCAGTTCATAAATATTTCGTTCACAAGACAATCGATCCTTTAAAGTACCACCACTGTTTTTCTCACCACTCGCAAATATTTTATCGATAAAACAACAATTGTTCAATTTTAACTAACATTAATGTCACTTTCAGTCGATAACGTTCGATAGAATGATAATGACATCAAACGGCGTGGATCAGTGGCGCAATCAGTTTCCAAGGAGTAATTCGATAATGATAATTGGTTGATCCAAAAAGTAAAAAAGTTGTTTCGGGGTCCCTTAATGACGAGATCGGGGCCCCAGGGGTCGTTGGAGGGGTCAGGCCGCGCAAAAATAACAATCAATCGGACGGAGGGGGCGATTGAGAGGCGGCCAATTACGCGGTGGCGGCGGTGCCTCTGCTGCGGTTTTGCCCCGGAGGGACGAGGACGAGCAAGACAGCTTCCTTACCCGCCTTTAATTCACCTCGAACG